CCGCTCCTGGCTTCTGCCCCGGCTCCGGCCGCAGACATGGCGGGCGGGCACTGCGGCGGTTTCGCCGCGGCGGCGGCCAGCAGCGGGGAGATAGTGCAGCTGAACGTAGGGGGGACCAGGTGAGCAGGCGGCCGCGCGGGGTGGGGTGGGGCGGGATAAGCCCAGGTGGGATACACGCTGCAGCGGGGACGCTGTCTGCAAGTCCAGGTGGGGTGCCAGCTGCTGGCAGGGCGGCGTCTTCACGGCGACTAGATGGGGCGCTCGCTGCAGCCTGGGAGGCGTCTGCAGGGCCAGGTGGGGTGCTCGCTGCAGCCTGGGCGACGTTTGCACGGCCAGGTGGGACACCCTCTGCAGCCTGGGAGGCGTCTGCATAGCCATGTGGGGTACCCTCTGCAGCCTGGGCGACGTCTCCACGGCCAGGTGGGACACCCTCTGCAGCCTGGGCGACGTCTGCACGGCCATGTGGGGTACCCTCTGCAGCCTGGGAGGCGTCTGCACGGCCATGTGGGGTACCCGCTGCTGGCAGGCCTGCATCTTCACGACTAGATGGGCCGCCTGCTGCAGGCAGGGCGGCATCTTCATGGCCAGATGGGGTACCCGCTGCAGGTGGGGACGCGTTTGCATGTTCCAAGCAGCCCCGCCCATTCCTCAGAATCTGGTCCCGAGTGAGTGCACAGACTGTTAGAACGCAGTCTTCTTTATTCCTTCTGGTTCCTGAGTGTCGGGCTAGAAGAACTCAGTGACTCACTGGGCCTGCCTGAGCGAGTGACTCCCGGCCTCCCGCCTGCTAAGTGAGCGAGCTGACACCGAGCTCTGAGCATTCCTGCAGGTTGTAGTCTCAGGTGAAGCCTGGTCTGGGGCTTGAACTGTTGCTTAGGAGCAGGCTTCCCTTTCTCTAGGTTTACCTAGCTGTGGGCTTGGCTTCTGCAAGGGACCTCGTGCGCCTTTGAAAGCCTGCTTCGGTAGGGACTGTGTGATACAAATGTCAGTGCATGGTTTGAGGTAGATCAACATTGCTGTTTATTTCCAGTTTCTCTTGGTGCATGGACAAGGGTCTGTCTGTTCCACTTGTAGAGGAGCATGTCCAAAAAGAAAAAAAAAAAAAACAACCTGGCTTGTGAGTACCTTAGGTGTTGGCAAGAGAAAACTAGCTGGACTGTCTTATCCTCTCTTAGGCCCTCTACTTCCATCCTGTGCCTTTTATTAAGTTGTAAAACAAAAACACCTCCCCAAAAAACAACAACCAAATCCATTTTTGTAGGTTCGCCATGACTTACACATTCCTCTTCTCAGGAAAGGGTTATGTGTCGGCACTAGTTGAGGGGAGCACGGATTTTAGGCACATAAGGACATAGGGAGTGGGGTACTCTGTAAGACGTTAATTATGTGACACTTGTTTATTTCAAACTACAGATTAGCAGCAGTGGATCCAGTGCCGTGACCCTCTGGGTGCTGGAGAAGTCTGGGCTAGAATTTGTCTTCCTGCTCTCTCACCTTTTCCTTCCAAAGCAGAGTGTGAACAGGTGAAGCCGTTGCACCTCTGCCGCATTGTGTACGTGCCAGGTCACACACAGATGTGTATCTCCTAATGTAAGAAACGTGGTTTCCCTGCTCACCTACAATTACATGAACGTATTGTGAGTAGCTTGGTTTGCAGAGGTGAAATACTCCGCACAAAGTGGTCTGTGGTGGGTGTCAGTACGAGGAGCAGGATTGTGATATTTAAAATCTTGATGCTGGATGGCTGACATATTTCTTTTCAGGCATTCAAAAGGACAGAGCATTATGAAAAATCCTAAGCTATATTGTTAGTTTTGAAAAGATTTTGTCTTAAGTGTGTGTGTATGTAAACCTGTGGAAGCCGATGAATCCTGTACAGCTGGAGTCTCAGGTGTGGTGAGTTCTGTTGTAAGCCACCTGACATGGGTGCTGGGAACCGAGCGAGAGCAGCAAGTGTTCTTGATCACTGAGCCATCTCCTCAGGCCTTATGTTGTTATTTATTGTATACTGGGGACGGATGTGGCCAGCAAGTATGGCTAGGCTGATAGAGGTGCTCAAGGAAGCAAGCCTGGCAACCTGTGTGGCATCCCTGGAACCCATGTACAGATGAAAGAGGAAAACTGACCCCACAGAGTTGTTCTCTGACCTCATATGCACACCGTGGCATGCCCCTCCCCACCCCACCCCACAGCTGTATCAATAATAAAAAATAAAATTATAATCAAAAAGAAAGTGGGTGTCTAAGAACCGATCTCCAAGGACTGCAAGCATACTCAAGCTTCGAGTCTTCCGTGGAACTTGCTTCTTACTTGATTCTGAATTTTTCAAAGTGCTAACCAGCAGAGAATACAAAATTGACATAATTTTATTACTGGTTTAAACATTTTAGAAGACAGATAAAGGTTGTTGGGTGGGAATGAAACAGTTATTAGGGTTGAATACATCACAAGCAATGGCAGCATTTGATGCCAAGAGTTGGAGCCCCGACTTCTAGGTCTTCATCAACCTACATACCCTGTTAGCACTTGAGAGGGCAGAAGTCATGCTTATCTTGTAAAAAACAGTTTAGCACAATTAAGACAGTCACGAAAGTCTCTGGGAGAGATAAAGTCCTGTGAGTGGCTGTGAGAGTCAGCAAGGACGCTGACCGCTGGAAGATGGCCTGTGGCTTGGCTTGAAGCTCTGAAGTCACAGAGTAAGACGTAAAAGTGTTTGTCCAGAGCACAGGAGAAAGACAGAAGCTTGCTGCTCAAGGAGTGAGAAGAACGAGCAAGTTTTTTGTCCGACTTAGTGCTTGATGGGGGTTTCTTTAAAAACCAGTAGTGTTTATTACAACGTCAGTGAAGAATCCCAGTGCTCAAGATCTATGTACTTAGATATCAGTTTAGGTAAGGGAGGGCCACATGGTACGGACCCACTTATGGACAGTTTGGGAAAGAAGCTGGTTTCTTCTGCGCATAGCAGGCCCTCTGAGTTAGCACCCTTGGGCAAGTTGCTTTGTAGTGCTCGGTTTCCAGAAACAAAGTAATGATAGTACCAGACTCAGACTGATAGAACTTGAGGAAATAAACATTAAATGTGAGGGTTTGTGGCATCGTAGTAATCCTTTATAACAAATTATTTGACTTGGGTTGCTTTCATATTTTCAGATTAATTTAGTAACAAACCACTAGAGTGGAGGATAACTGGATATACTAATTTCTTTAGTCATCTTTTTGATATGTTTACCATCCATCTATCCATCCTTGGCATACTTCAGATATGAGATAAAAAATAGAAAAGGCTCTCATATATATGTAACAGAAAGCTATGTTAATCATATATGTAAGTTCCTGTCTCTTTGCCCAAAGTTGCAGATTGTCTTCTGGGGTGGGCTTGATACTGATTGACTATGTAGTGCAGGCTTCCTTCCTACTGCCTGTGACTGTCTCCATCTCTTGAGTGCCACCATGCCTAGTGGGGCATTATTATTTTAAGTAGACCTGTGTACCTTAACATGGTCTTCTGAAAGTGATGAACACGGACTATCAGAAGCAGTAAACTATATACGTTTGTTTTCTTTGCTGTGATGAATACCGATGAAAGCAGCTCGCAGAGGTCAGAGCTTCTCTGGGCTCCTTTTGGAGGCTGCAGGCCATTGTGCAGAAGCTTAATGGGGTGGCCGCGCTGTCTGCACTCAGGCAGGGAGTGATGCCTACCGCTGTTCAGGCCCTTTCCTTTTTCTTCAGTCCTTTCTCCCAGAAACAGGCAGTACCGCTCCATGGCCTCTGCTTCAGTTCCTGCCTCCAGATTCCTGCTTTGAGTTCCTGAACACCAGCCAATGGAATGGTGCTGGTTGTTTTTATTTTGTATTGTTTTTTGTCTGTGTAAGGGAAGAGCTATCTAGGAAGAGGGAAACTCAATTGAGCAATTGTCTCCTTAAGATTGGCCTGTAGGCAAACCTTTGGGACATTTTCTTGATTAATGGTTGGTGTGGAAAGGCCCAGCCCACTGTGGGTGGTACCTCTCTTGGGCAGGTGGTCCTGGGTTGTGCAAAGCAAACTGAACAAGCTGTGAGGAACATTTTTTTCATTGCTAATTGATGTAGGAGGGCCCAGCATGCTTTTGGTGGTTCCATCCCTAAGTAGGCAGGTGTAGGCTGTATCAGAAAGGGCGCCGAGCAAGCTGAGGGAACGGGAGCCAGCAAGTAGCATTGCTCCTTGGCTTCTGCTTCAGTTCCTGCCTTAATTTCCCGCTTTGGCCTCCTTCAGTGATCAACTGAGACCTGGAAGCCAAATACACCCTTTTCCTCCTGGATTGATTTTGGTCGGTGTTTTATCACAGCAGCAGAAATCAAGCTAGGACTAGGGTGGATCTTCCCACTTCATTTAATCTAATCTAGGAATTCCTTTGCAGACATGCCCAAAGGTTTGTGTCTTTGCTAAGACACGCTGCTAGAAAAAATTGACATGCTTTCTTGAGGATATGAACTCCTTCCTATTTATTATATCTTTATGTATTTATTTGAGACAAAGTCTCACTGGCCTCTAATTTGCTATGTACCTCAGACTGGCATGAAGCTCAGACCATTCTTCTGCCTCCACCTCTGGATTAATGGAATTACAGGCATGCACCACCTAACCTGGTTTTAGCTCCTTTCTTAGTCAGATTAATGAGCATAGGAATTGCTTGACAACACTTAGATTATTTATGACTTGTGAAATTAGTTGGGAGTTAGCATCCCTGTGTCTCTATGAGATCTTTCAGTGGAATATATGTAGAGATCTATCTTTAGGAAATGAATTATTTTGAGCTGGAGAGTTGGTCCAGTGGTTAAGAGCACTTATTGCTGCGCAGAAGACCCAGTTTTGAATCGCAGCACCCACATGGTAGCTCACAACTGCTGTTCAGTCCCAGGGCAATCAGACAACCTCTGCTGCCCACTGTGATCATCAGGCACACACGGTGCACATCAGTGATGTGCAGACAAAACACTCATACACACAGATAGTAAATAAATCTTCGAAGAACGATTATCTCCTTTTCCCCTTTGTAGGTCAGTGTGAGGGCATGTTTTCCTCACGGACTGTGAGTTTGTGGGTGGAGGAGGCAGAGATCATTTTTGTCTCTTTGATTAAGAAGCTTCCTTTGATGACAGTAGGCAATGTCTGTGAAATAATTGGGCGGTGACAAACATTTTGTGGAGGAAACTTGTACTTTTTTCTGCTGTTCCTGACATTAGGTGACAAGGCCTGGTCATGCCGATGGCCACATGGACAGCTTAGTAACATGTTTCCCGGTACTTTATATAGAAATGTTCTGTTGTAACCATAGAAAGTCCACAGGTTTTATAGATGAATCCGTGTCTCAGTTTATACAAAGCACTTAGTTGTGCATCTGATTATCACACCTCTGTTTCAGAGTAGCTGTTGGGTCTGTGACAGCGTGAGACTGCAGGATGACAGGTCATTCTGTCAACACTGCCGCCCACTTTTAAAAACATCATCATTACTGTTATAAAACTCCTGAAAGTAGCCTTGAAGTGGTACAGTTTTTAAGGAGTAAACATTTGAAGCCCTTGCTGTCCTAGTGCTTAGGTGTGCACTCTGCCTCTGCAGTTCCAGCTTGGCCTGCAGTCCACTGACATCTGCTGTGCCAAGTGGAAGATGAGAAAAGAAAGGAATGACATTGAATGACTGGCCAGGATGAGCAAGGAGCAAACAGCACCCACTTTACTCATGAGCTGGAGATAGCCCAAGAGTGCTGTATAGAGAGTGTCGGATATAATTTACACGAGTTACTAGTTGCGGAGTGTCTGGAAACACCGCTGTGGATTTTGTAACCTCATAGTGTCAGCAAGAAGGCTGGGACTTAGAGTATTGGCCGTGGAGGTGACTGAGCTGGGGTGAAAACACGAGACAGAGCACAAAGTGGAGAGACAGCAGTGACACCAGAGATTCACACGTAGCTGAGCCCAGATGTTGGGATTTGTTGTGATGGACTAGAAAAGCTGGGGATTAGAAAGCTTTGCTTTTGATTTTGCTGTTGAAAATCTTAACTCTGATTGCACAGCAGGAAAATCTGTAAGTAGTAGACAGAATAATTAATGCAAATCCAGTCATTCCCACTTGTGTGCGTTGCTGTCTCCTGTTGCAAGGTGTTCACAGTTATAACTCAAGGTGGTTTCAATTGCAGGTTCAGCACCTCAAGACAGACGCTTATGTGGATTCCAGACTCCTTTTTTTCCAGGTAATTAATGTAATTCTTTATGTTATTATACACTTGATTACTTGCCAAAATATGAAACTTTTTCTTTTTTAGTTAAGTTTTTTTATAGTTAAAAATGTTAACTCTTAAATTAGAAATTTTGTTTTCGTACCATTGAGAAGGTTCTGCTGTGTATCCCAGTCTGATCTTGAACCCCTGTTCCTCCTGCTCAGCCTACTAATTTGGAGTGATAGGCATACATCCCACACCTGGTTCAAACTGAGATTGCTTTTAAAGTTGGAGACAGAAAATTTGCTTGTATTGGCTTTGGCATTTAGTAAGGAAGTTGCTTATGTTCAGAATTTCTAACTAACTCTAGCTTGTTTTAATGGCTTCTAGTTTGCTGAGTGGGAGAATTTCAACACTTCGGGATGAAACTGGTGCTGTAAGTATAATGTGTTTCTAAATTCAATCAGCAGATGTTTATAATTTTTAGTGTATAGTGATAGGAAGGCTCACATTTTAGTCAACACAAAGTTAGTGTGTTTTTGTGAATTGTCACATACAGGGTTTCTAAACTGTAGAGAGACCCTTAAGCAGTAACTATCTATTGTATACAGCAGTTTGAGGTGCTTGTGATCAGAACCACTATAGGGTGTAACTTGTATTGACAATTGACAGAGTAGTTCTTAGTCAATAATTGAAACTTTAATAGTCAATAAATATAAATAAAATATTTTGGTATTAGAGTGGTAGGAACTCTCAGGTGGTACTCTCATAAGTTTTATGAACTGTGAAGCAATATAGTGTGGGGACAAAGGCTTGTGCAGTTGAAGCCAAGAGGTTGGTTTCTGCGCTGAAAACATTGCTGTGAATGCAGTTGTGTTAACGAGAGTGACAGCCCACAGAAGCATTTGAAGTTGTTTATTTGATGAGATTTGCAGGCAAAACAAAGTAGCAAAGCAGATGTGTCTGCATGAAATTATCTTAGTTTAAAATTAAATAAAAACCCAGTTCCTGGTTTTTCGTTGGAAGCATCTTTGTCCTCTGTACTCTGTGGTCCTCCCTCAGTTATCCGCCAGCTCAGCCTGTGGGGGTCTCCCTGTGAGTGACAGCACCGACTCCTGTCTGCACAGGAGAGGCACAGAGCACCCTTCACCACTCCCGGGCGTCACAGCGGCTGCCGCAGTGCATGCTGCCACAATGAGGTTTCCCAGGTGCCTTTCCCCCAAGCCTTTGAGTAACTAGAAACAGAAATACTTATGTGATCACACTGACTGACCACGGCTACACCGTTTCAGTTTGAGAAGCATCAAAAAAACTAAGGAAATCTCAGTCTGTCTCTGTTCCTCATTGGTGTTTCAGTTATTGAAGGAAGGACATATATTTTTTGGCTTGATAATAAAACAGTATCTTGATAATAAAAAATATCTTCACTTGCAGATATTTATTGATAGGGACCCAGCAGCATTCGCCCCTATTTTAAATTTTCTTCGGACAAAAGAACTCGACTTAAGGTAAGAGTCTCGTTGTTTCTGAGGCCTTGCTGGCAGCCAGTGTTTGGGCCTGTTCATAAAGTAGTAGCTTGCCCTAGACTGCTTTTTAGCTGGTGTATTTGTCCTTACCCAGCACAGCGTGTTAACAGTTATTAAGATACAAGTGCACAGCGTGTGACAGTCATGGTGGGTAATTACTGCGTCATCTCCTCAAATGATATCTTGTGTTGGGAACCTTTACTGCGCCCTCGGTAGCTAATTGTAGGCCATAGTGCCAGCTGTGCTGTGGATTTGGCTGACTCTCCACCTGTTTTGTTACCTGCTTCTTGCGCTTTCTTTCCCCTCAGTCCCCCCTTCTGGCCTCTGAGCATCTCTGATCTACCCTGTGACAACAGGCATTCTCAGCTGAAGTTGGATGGGTACAGGCCAACAGGCCTCTTTCTCCAGGATGCTGTGGCAGCTCCCTGGGCAGTTCCCTGCTTTGCCCAACTGTATTTCATTCAGTCCTGTAGCCAACAGTCTGACTCTGATCAGACTGCTGCTGTTGTGCTGAAAATATAGAGGGTTTTTCGGACGAATGACTGATGGTTTTGGGTTTGGCCTTGCTTGTCTGTTTCCATTTCTCTCAATCGCGTCAGCTCTGGTGGCTGTTTCTGCTGTGTTTGCCTAGGACTTTGTGCCTGTCAGTGCCTCAGCTCTTGCTGTGTATTCTTACCTTTTTACTGATCTTTTTCCAGCAGACCTCAGCTCCAGAAGGACACCCACTCTTCACTGTGTCCCGAGTCCAGCTTTGTGATGGACATGTAGTAGATTATGGATGGTTATGGATTGTGAACAGTTACTTAGACCATATTTGTGAATTTGTCATCTTGAATTAGTTTACATTCCTACCAGAAATGTTAGCATTTTTGACAAATCTTCACTAAGGTTTTTGTAGGGTCAACTTTTAGGAACCTTGGAGTTACTATTAGCTGCTGCTTCACTTAATTTTGACTCCTCCTCACTGAAGATGTACTCTTTGCAGATGAGGTTGTATATTCATTTATTTTGGTCCAGTTTGTTCTCTGCTATCACATATTACGTCAGTAGAAGAGCACTGAGGTGTGCTTGTTTGTGCTTTCTGTCTGGGCCTGGAATAAGTAAGAGATGGGCAGTCAGTTTCCTGTGAGAGATTGCTTTTGTGCACCTCACTTAGTTCAAAAGTCTCTGTTTACTTGTGACTGACCCACAGTTACATCCACAGGAAGGCCCACTGCTTCTTCGCCTCTCTTCATGGCACCTAACACCTTTTGGTGCTTAAAAGAGGCCCAGCAAATTTAAATTTTATAAGTGGTTCCTTTTAAGAAGAAAGGAAGAAATTTGTAAAAAAAAAAAAAAATGTTTTAACCATTTCTTGCATAACGTTTTTGTATTGCTGGTACCACTAATCATGAATTTGTTCTCCAGTTGTTCAGGGGCTGCCTGCTGCTCCTTGAGGAATTTCATGTGTGTTCTGAACCCTTCATTGTCTTGGGCCTTTGCCACTGTACCATTGACTTTTGGTTTTAAAGGGGAGTTGGGAAGTTTTCAGCTTGTGTGTGTGTCCCCGAACTAAGGTTGGTGTCAGGCACCTTGATCTCTCTGCCTTTTATTTGGAGGCAGGGTCTCTCAGTTGAGCCCAGATCTTACCATTATTTGGGTTAGTGTAGCTAGCCAGCTTGCTCTAGAGTCCTCTTTCTCTACCTTCCACATTCTGGGGTTATGGGTGAGCTACCAACTCCTACTGCTTGTGTCCTTATCTTTGGGCTGCAGCTGCCCCACTCCAACCCTTCCTAGCCAATACCTTCTCATAGCAACAAATGAAACAGTTAACTCAGTTATATATGCTAAGGCTTCTTCTCAGAGGAGGAGCAAGCAGATCACAGCTGAGTCTTCCAGTGCCTCATGAGTGCTGTGGGCTCTGGAGCTTCCTCTCCTTTCAGTTCTTCACGGGTTCCTAACTTCACTACGGTGTGGTCGCACCGTCTTCATCTGGATAGTGTCCTTGCTGGCCCTTTAAAACCCAAGTCTCATTTGATTTTACTTCGCACATTGCAGGTGTTGAAGTGAGCGCTGCTGTAGGCACAGTTAGGAGGAGGGGGAGCTTGCAGGGTCTTACAGTACAATGGGGAAGGTTACAGTATGAGTAGAAAGAAGTCCAGTAAGACAGTGGTTTCTGCTGCTTTCTGCTGGTCAGATTTTCCTTGATAATTTGTTTATATTAGCCCTCACCCTCTTGCTCACACAAATATGTATGGTCTTTATGTCGGTAACAAAATGTTTTTATTTAAAATTTTATTTATTTTTGTTTTATGTGGGTGTGTTTTGTCCACACATGAGTCTGCACCATGTATACAGTGTGCTCTTGGAGGTCAGGAGAAGACCTCCTCCCCTTGAGGAGCCTGGCGTCTGAGTGACAGCCCAGGCTGTCGGTGTCAGGGAGCTCACAGCCTTTCTTCGTTTCTTTGCAGGGGAGTGAGCATCAGTGTCCTCAGACACGAAGCCGAGTTTTACGGGATCACTCCGCTAGGTACGTGTTGATCTCCCAGGACTTACCCTGTCTGCAGACTTGCCCAAAGGCAAGGTCCTCCTAAGAGTAGTTCAGTGCTCAGTGGTTCCAGGTAAAAAGATGACCTCAACTGTGAGTTCCCTTAAACATTCCTCCTTTCTCTTCTCACCGCCCTTAACTAGAGAGAGTCTCTGTGAGCAGGTCTGTGTGTGCGCATGTGTGTCCCCTGACAAGCTTGTGTTACCTGTTACAGTGCGAAGGCTGCTGCTGTGTGAGGAGCTGGAGAGGTCGTCCTGTGGCAGTGTCCTGTTCCACGGCTACTTGCCCCCACCAGGTACTGCCGCTTGCATTTATTCAGACCTGTCATTGAGCAGCAACAAACAGAGAAATTAGAAAAAACATCCTGGTTATTTGAGTTTGGATAAATCTGGACCTCATCAGACTGTGCCCTTTTATGATAGTGAAGTATGTAGAACAGGCAGGGGTTAATGCCTTCTTCTGTAGGGCCCAAGAAGCAAATCATGGCAGCCCCACAGCTGCCATGTATACCATTGACCCCTTAGCCCGAGGCCTTAAGCACTGGAACTCTGCGGGGTTCGGTTAGTGTCCCCTTGGTTACTTAGAAGAGTTGGGCTTTTGCCTGTGCAGATTGTGCTTCTGAGGGAGGTGTTGCTTTGGAAAAGATCCTGTCTGAAAGGATGAGGAAATGAAGCCTTGAGGCAGTGAATTTGGACATAGTTAGGATGGCATGTGACTACCGTAAGCCTAAAGATCAGTTTAGACTAGATGGATTGATTGCTCAGCACCCTCAGGCTGGGTCAAAGGGCACATAATATGATAAGCCTTAATCTCACTGGCTGTGAATAGTAAAACTTGCAGGAATTGGTTGGATTGTCTCTTATTTTTCCTGATTATAGTTAAATTGTTTGCCATACACTGACATACTTGGAGACCTGGTGTAGGTGTAACCTCACACTGACGTGCTTGGAGACCTAGTGTAGGTGTAACCTCACACTGAAGTGCTTGGAGACCTGGTGTAGGTGTAACACACACTAACGTGTTTGGAGACCTGGTGTAGGTGTAATCTCACACTGACGTGCTAGGAGACCTAGTGTAGGTGTAACCTGTACACTGACGTGCTTGGAGACCTGGTGTACATGTAACCTCACACTGACGTGCTTGGAGACTTGGTATAGGTGTAACAAAGTTTAGATGGTCATGTCCTTCTGTTACAATAGTATTTTTAATTTTTAGAAGGGAAACAGATAAATTTGTGTCTTCTCCTTTGTAGGCATTCCCAGCCGTAAAATAACTAGCACAGCTAGATCCTCAGTGGATGCTAGGAATGGACTGAATTCTGTGGAAGGCGAAGCCCAGGGATGCGGGACCCAGCCTGTGCTCTCTGGAAATGGAGATGAGACTGTTAGGCTGGGTAAGCGGGGGTGTGGAACCCAGAGAAGCTTGCACTTAGTTCTCAGACAGGCTGCGTGAGTTTTGAATATTACTCTTTTGCTCCACACAGACACATATCACACACACACAGTCACACTCACACACACTCTTACACTCTCACATTCTTAGGGTACTGTGTGTTAAACCCATGGCTACAGTACTGAGTGCTGTAGTACCGAGCCACACCTCAGCCCTTTGTTTCCATTTTAAATCTGGACTCATCATTTATATCTTAGAAAATCTCATTTAACACACATTTTTATTTGAAGTGTAATATGATCCTCTGATTTTGTTTTCTCTATTTTGCTTTTGTCTGTAGAATAGTTGACAAACTTTGTGTTGAGAGCTAGCTAGTGAGTTCCCATTAGGCTCCTGGGGCTGTGTAGTATCTGTTAGAACCACATAACTCTGCCTCTGGTGCAGGCATGCTCTGCCTTAATAATCTATGAGCCTGCTCTGCTTTGACCCCCTTTCACCCAGACAGGCAGAAGCATGGAATGGCCTTAGAGCCAGAACATTCTAACTCATTTAAGATGTAAATGCTTCTCTCTAAACCCGGCAGGGTTTCCAGTGGACCCACGAAAGGTGCTAATAGTTGCCGGCCACCACAACTGGATCGTAGCTGCATATGCACACTTCGCCGTGTGCTACAGGTACCTCGTCCTTAAGCATCATTTGGTTTTATTTTAGATCGTTTGTTTTATATTTAGGTTGAATATCTGTTTCTTTTAGTCATTAGTTTTTCTCCTGCATGTTTTCCACTTCACTTGGTAAAAATTCGTTTTTACTTAATACCTACTTTATTCATAATTCTGATAGCCTTACTGGATGGTAAGTTTCTACCCAGGTGGTAGAAACTGTGATGCAGATGAGATATGTTGCTTTTTCTGGCTGTCGACATTAGGCAGGATTATTAATGTGAACCCTGAAATCTCTTTTATGATGAGTCTGTCTTGCGCTGTGCAGTAGAGTGGAGCTCTGTGCTGTATAATGGCCACACTGGGGAGGAGTCCGGCAGAGCTGCTGTGTGTAAGCGACACAGCTCAGTGTCCACACTGTGCGGAGTTCACGGTCGTTGATTGCACTGAAGGGCAGTGGGGAGGGGTGCATGGTCCAAAGTGACTTTGTGTTCATGGGGAAAGTTTGACTCTTTCTTCAAAGCCCCGTGGACTGTGGACCACAGGCATTGCTATTGCTCTGATGGAAGAAGCAAAGAGGTGGCCAGAATTTACTCTCTCAACACGATCCCTTTAAATTTTGTTGTTGGAAAGTCAAAGAAGTTAGAGATTTTTATCATTTTGGTTAAGGAAAAAAATAGCTGAAGGTTAAAAGTTTAAAACAAAATCCTTCAGGAGTTGTTTATAGTCCTGTTCTAAATACTGCAATATGCCATGCAGGTTTGTTTGTCTCTGGAGGGAACTGCATGCCACCTGCTTAGGCATGACTTTGGTTGTAGTCATGAATAGGTTACTTTGTTCTGAGCACTTTACAGGATTTTAATTCAATTACCAAGGAGTATAGAACTTAGCTTTTGGGTGGTTATTTTGTAGGTAGCTCTTATATATCATGACACTAATTTAGTAAGGGGAATTTTTAGAGTTGTTTTGTATTTACAGTCATCTAAGTCTAAGCTGAAAAACTCCCTGGATGCCAATGTAGTGGTTGTTTCATACTGACTGCACATTTGACTATTGACAAGGATACAGGAACTTGTATGACTCTTATGCTTAGATTATGGCAGCCTTGCCCCACTGAAGAGAATCTCACAGAAGGAAGGGGGAGAAGGAAGAGTGATGCTGCCCACATGGTTGCTCACATCTGCCTTTGACCACAGTCTCTCCATGCTTCCGTGGGCAGTCTCACTAGCTAAAGACTCAGCAGTGTGGAAGGGAAGGGTGATCGTGCTGGCTTTCTTTATAAGCTTCAAATCACACTGCAGACTGATAAAAAGATTTCAGAAGAAATTTCGTAGTACTTTGTAAGATCATGGTCCTTACTACAAGGTGACCTTCTTGACAGTTTTATGTAAGTTCAAAGCCTTAAAATGGAGAATGGTGTGGTGGCCACTGACTCCTGTGTGGTTGGGCTTCAGTTCCATGTCCCATTTTCTTCCTGAGTTTGACAGTCTTTGAGTAAATGAAGAACTTGTGTAAATTGCTGCCCTCATGCATCTGGACTCCATTTTAGATTCTTAATCTCGACAGAATTTCCTTTGTTGTAGGTGGTATAAAATTTAAGAATGTTTTGCTTTCTTCCAAGTGAGTGAGTAATTATGTTGACATTTAGCTTCCTGCTGAATGTGAAACTCCCACCCATGTTTGTATGTGTATACGTGTACATATGTCTGTATAGCTGTGTAAATGGGTATCTTGAACTCCTATATACTTAGTACTTAAACACACCCGTTTAATTTGAGGAATAATGTGTTTAGTAATCATACTTAACTAAACCTTGAGGTGAGGTTTGACTATGAAAATACGATACTGTCTGCCCTGCCTTCCTAACTCCACAGAGTCATCTGTAAAGAGCTGGGTTGTCAGTTCTCGTTGTCACGCTGAACATATTTTCAGTTTCAGATCACCTCTGTGGAAAATTAGATAGCTGGTAGATTTCTTCGCATGCATTTCAATTTGAAAACACAAGTTTACCTGCCTCATTGAGTTAAAGTCTGTTACAATGTAGTCATGCTCTCCAGATTTTAAGTATTACATCCTTTAAGATCCTAATTGTTGCAGACACACAAGTAAAAAGTGTGCACTCTGGAAAGAGTGTTGTGTGTGTGTGTCTTACATCTTTGCTTACAAGATCACACCCTCCTCTCTGTTCACCACACGCCTGCTGAGATCTGTGGGGAGCCGCCCTGTGTCCACATCACCACACAGCATGTGGACAGTCCTTGCTTTGTGCTCAGTCTGAGAGGGCTAAAGTCCGCCTTTCAGTCCTAATAGTTGGCAGTTTTAGAGTTTATTGGATGAGTATTTTTATTTTATCTTAATACATCATTCCCATCTGGTGGCCAAAAAGGGTAATTACAGACCTTAAATTTTGGGGAAAAATTAATTTATTGCTTTGAAGCTTAAGGCAAGAAAACATTAATTCTCAGTTAAAGCTTTAATTTGGGAGCTGTAGTTGCATTATGTGAGCATACTTATTTAAATGAATGTGGTGGCTCGTGCCTGTGCATGTGCCAGTTAAGCAGCACATGCTCTACCAGTGACTGCCAGGGGAACTTACACTGCCTGCCTGGTGAAAGAGCAACTTTGTCTGGGGACCTGTTGGGCAGGACCAGGATGTACTTTTGCTGACTCCATCATGGTGATGTAATCAGGCTGTAACCTTGGGGGCAGTTATATAGAATACCTGTCTGGAATACCTAAATTCCCATAGGACAGAGAAATGTATTCAAAGTAGGAGCCAGTCTACAATACCAGCTCTTGAGAGTCTGAGGCAGGAGGATTGAGTTAGAGACATCATAAGTTCTACTTCAGGCCAGCCTCAGGTACATTAGACAGCCCCCCTCAGGGAGAGGGGGATGGGGAGAGAGAGAAAGAGGATAACCAAAGGGGCACTTGTAGTTGTTGGGGAAGCTGAAAGATGTTCTTGTCGGGGAATCGGTGTCCTTGTGAAGTGCCACGTCTAGACTCGTATAAACCAGCTCGGAGAAGGCTTCTCAGCCCCACTGTGCATTTGCTCTAAGGAATTTAAGGTTGTGATGTAATGTCATCTGGGGTACAGAGACTTCAGGTCTTGCCACGTCACACTAGTAACATCATTAACATGATGGCTAACAGGAAGGAATACAGTTCCATCTAAAATTCTGGCTGTGGTTGGCTGCCATTGTCCATACAGAACGACAGTGTAGTGGCTTTGGGGGTATGAGAAATACAACTATCTTCATTTTTTTTTAATTTTTAGAACATTTTATAGAACTTAAATTCTTTGGAGAAATATATATTCTAGTCCTTTTTGTGGCCACATGTTCTATGTGTTGGGTCCACGGGAGTCGCGCTAAGATGAGGACAGACCACCACAGTCTAATAAACCAGAAGCAAACTTTATTACAGGAAAAAAATAAAAAATTAAAAAATAAATCTCCACGGGCACAAAAAGCTTGTCAGCTAGCTGATACCACAGCCAGAGATGGACTTGTAAGGCTGTGGCAAAGACTGATTCTTGAACTCCTCCTTTTATAGCAAGCATTAGGCAATAACAAGAGAATTTTTACAATCTCGGGGTAAAACTCAGATACAAATTGCCCTTCTTTGCAATTTCTTTGCAATTTCCATTAACAGAGTTTTCCAGTTAAATTAGTGTTTGTAGTTAGTCCATTGTTTTGCCCCAGAGTTCCTGATAGTATTTACCAAGGCTCTGCACCTCCCCTGGCACTATGGGACAACATAAAACCAAAAAGCCAAAAGTCACGTACGTCCCATCATTTAAAAGGTAGCTCACATCAGTTTCTGGTCATGAGTTATCTAAAAGCTGACTCTCAGTTTACAGAGCCACCCTAAGTTTGCAGGGGGCCGCTTCAGCCTCACAAATAGGGTTATGGGCTGTAAAGCAGAGTAACCCACTGCTGATAGTAGTTAATCCTTAGCTGCTGAGAATCAAACTGCTGAAAGTTTGCTCTCATTCTTCTAGGCTTACAACTTTATATTTCTTTATTTCTACATTCTTATTTCTGGAATCTACATTTTTATATTCTTATTCTTGGACTTTTCACTATGGATGAAATGTAAGATCAGGAAAAATACTTCTTTGTAGATTGTACCAGGCTTTCTCTTTGGGCCACCAACCAGTTCCCAAATCATGACCCAGAGATTTATTATTAGTTTTGAATGCACAGCCTAGTTTAGGCTCATTTCTGGCTAATTATTTTAACTTAAATTAATCTGTTTCTCTGTCTGACTCACTGATGTCTGCTTGACTTCTTGCCCTGGATGTGTCTCTTCTTCTCTTTTTCTCTTCTCTTGAGCCTAGATTTCTCTTCCTATTAATTCTCTCTGCCTGGTAGCACCACCTGTCCTTTTTCTGCCTAGCTGCCGGCCATTCAGCGTTTCATTAGACAGTCAGGTGCCTTAGCCAAGCAAGGTGAAACAGATGCAGCACATCTTTACTTCATTGAACAAATGCAGCATAAACAAATGTAACACATCTTTGCCCAGTAAAAATAATATTCAACAGCAGGAGATGATACAGTGATTGCGTTCAGTAAATATAGGTAGGTGGAGAATGTGGTCCTTTTTTGCTATGTTGATGTCTGTTCTTTTTCTCATCTACCACTAAGCTTTCTTTCCATGATTATTCATAACAGAATCAAAGAGTCTTCGGGATGGCAGCAAGTGTTTACCAGCCCGTACCTGGACTGGACCATCGAACGGGTGGCTGTAAATGCAAAGGTGGTTGGAGGTCCTCACGGAGACAAAGACAAGATGGTGGCCGTCGCCTCAGAGAGCAGCATCATCCTGTGGAGTGTTCAGGATGGAGGAAGTGGAACTGAGATCGGTAGGAAGAATTTTACATTGTGCTTGGCTGTTGTCCATGTTTGATTGGCTGTAAGTGTGACAGCCAGCTGGACTTGTGACACTTCCCACCAGGGCCCCGTAGCCATAGGCCTGCTCAGTGAGAGCACGGTGTGTTAGAGGAGGGAGCCCTGGGGTTCAGTTTGCTCTGACAGAGCCTGATGTGACACAGAAAGTCGCTCCTCAGTTTTCCTCCACACTCACACTCTGATGGTGGGTAAGCAGCTTATGTTCCCTGTTTTGTAGCCCAATTTCTCAGACCAAAGCACTCTTAAGTTAATCAGGTGTTGTACAGGTTACTACCTATTGGCATTCATCTTACTAGAAATTAACCTACAGTCAAAACACTTAACAGGTATAAGAAGAGTGAGCAGTGCTTAACTCACTGCATGGTGATTCAGATTTATCACCAGCATTTATGCCCCGGCAATGCTAAGCATGCATGGGCAGCCCGTTTAAGGCGGTTCTCCAGTTCTTCCTATCCTGGGAAGTCCTAGATGCTTATGTTACTGTCATACCCAAGGTTCCACAGTCTTCCTTTATGCTGTCTAACCCCCTTTTTCGGGCCTTCCCCTTCGCCTTATCCCATGCAGTCCTCCAAGCAGTGCTATCTTCGGGTATCTGCTGTCATTCTTATAATATGGCCACAAAGTATCTCAAGCGCCATTGCCGTATCTTGTAATTTACTTCCTTCTGTTGATGGAGATGTTTCTCATACATGTTAACAAAGAGAAAACTTTTGAGAGAAGTGATATTGGTTGCAGTTTGTAGATCTCCATGGTATCTTTTTAAACCTTTGTTATGTGTGTACATGTGCATGTGTGTGGTTTATGCATGCATGCCTATGTGTGTGTTAGTTTACATGCTCGTGTACCTGTCTGTGGGAGTCACAGGAAGACATAGGATGTCCTGCTCTATCTCTCTCCACTTTACTCCCTTGAGGCAGAATCTCTTCCTACTTGTAGCTTTCTGGGTTTTGCCCAGGCTGACCAACAAACCCAGTGATCCCACTGTCTGCTCATACCGTATCACTAAAGCTAGGTTATAGGCAGGTAGGACATTTTTCTCTCTTCAGGTATGTGCTGGGGAGGTAAACTTAGGCCCTCGTGCTTATGCAGCAAGCACCGTTACTAATTTGACCCTCTCCATCCCTGTGTGACGTCTTTTGTAGCTCTTGTGTCTGTGTCTGTAATTAGTTTGCTGTGATTCATGGCTTTCATTGGTGTGTGCGAAGACAGGGTGGCCCCAAACAGATGAACAGTTGGAAAGCCCTTTTTCTTTCTGTGAGTCTTCTCAGATAACTGGCTCTTTCTTGACTCCTGTACCAGAGCTGTGAAACTTTTCTAGCTCTGCTGAGTTGACGTCCACCGGCCTGTTTTGTTCTGTGAACAGTCTTTACTTCAGGCCTGGGGCTTGTGACGGCGGTGCTGGTCAATTGGACATGTTGGCTTACTGAGTAGGCAGCTTCTCCAGATGCTGAGTCCATTCACTGTAAACTGATTCCAGGGTCACACATCTGACTCCCTGGGCCAGGAAGTGGTCATCCTTGTGTCAGCTGAGAGCTTCGGAAGACAAACTTCCACTTGAAACTGTAGTAGTAGTTTTTCATCAGCCGCCACCCCACACAGAGACTTATTATTAATTATGAAATCTTAGCCTATAGCTCAGGCTTGTTCCTAACTAGCTTTTATAACTTAACCCATTTATATAATTCTGTGTTCTATCATGTGGTGTTGTGTCTCTTCCATCTTGAACCTCCTGTTTCCTCTCAGGATCTGCTGGTGTCTACCCTAGATTTCTCCTCCTCTTCCTCTCCCTGGAAGTCGCAGCTATACTTCTGCCTAGCCGCTGGCTGTTGAGCTTTTTATTACACTGTTCACAGTAACACACCTTCACATGGGGCACAAATTCCACAACATGAAACCTTGAAGGTTTATAGCTGGCAACAAATACCATCTGATGCTTTCCTTGAGTTAGGTTTGTTTTGTTTATTTTGGGGGAGCAGTATGCCAGATACCAAATCTCTTTCCCCACCTTCTCCCTCTCTCCCTTCCTTTTCCTCTCCGTGAGTATTTGAAGTCTTCAAGCAAGGCATGCCACTCTGAGATGGCACCTTATCTACTTGGATTCTTGGAACTTCCCAGCATTCCACACGCTCATAGCATCCTCCTTCATTCTTTCTTGGGGTGTCTTTAGTGAAACCCTTGTGCGACATCTGTGCCCCCCCCACCTTGTGCCCTCACAATGTTCACCTCTATTTGGTGGCGGGAATCCTAGAAGTAGGAAGACAGAGTTGCCTATATCTCTCTCCCTCCCTCCTCCTGCCCCAGTGTTCATCTCTGAATGGTGATGGGACCTTAGTGGAAACCCCTCTGCAGTTTCTGTGTCTGTGCATCTGTGCGTACGTGTGTGCGTGCCTCTGTGTGTGTGTGTGTGTGTGTGTGTGTGTGTGCACGTGCAGGTGTGCATGTGTGTCCCACCGCACAGTGTTCATCTCTGTATGGTGATGGGAGTGCCTGGAAGTCGGAAGACAGAGTTGCTCATATCTTGAGTCTTCTGCTGTCTGATGTACATTGCTTAAAAATGTCACCTTGTATTTTATCCAGTTTCGCTGTTAGTGGTTTAAAGTGTGGAATAATTGAATTTATCTTATTATGGTTGATAGTATAACCTTTGCCGTTTAGTTTGCTAGAAAAAAACATTTTAACATTAAATACTCACTGCCATGCTGGATAGTTTTATGTCAACTTGACACATGGTGGTACATCTGAGGTCAGGACACATCTTCTGGGAGTCCTAGGTTGTATGGCTGTAATGCCGGCTGCGGGCCTGCACTGCCTGCACTCTTCTGAGCCATCTCACTGGCCCCATTGACTTCCTTCGGGTTTGCTTTAGAGTGTGCTGTGCGATGCACTGGTCTTACCTATAATATAGTCCTGAACATAAAGAGTCCCAATGCTACTAGAGGCCCAGGAGAAATAGTCACCTTGTCTGGGTTGTGCTTTTTAACGTATACCTTGTTTTCCCCCGATTTCTTTAAGGCCTCATGAGTCTTTGCTTTCACAGCTAAATGTTTAAACCAATTCTTCACATTGGCACACAGGTTCTTTGAAATGCTTTAATGATGGTCCACATGAAGCAGGATTTACATTGGACTCAGTTTCCCGAATTATTGGATGAAAAGACATTTCCCAGAAGGTGTTTCTCAAATAAGATGCTTTATTGTCACCATTTTAGTGTCTGATTTTTATCACACCATTGTTATAGTGGAAATGGTGACTGAGGCATTTGACTTGAGCTTTTCATAGATGGCGCAGGGAGAGCAGGAAGTGTGGCGCTGACGATAAGTCATCAGAGCCAGGCTTCCTGTGCAGACACAGTGCCTAGGCCCCACGAGTGCCTGAGAGGAGCCTGGACGTCTCACTCTCACCTTAGTGTGGGTGTCCCTTAGACCACACTGCCCTTTTCTTACAGTTTAAACTTACTCACTCTCCAGCTCGATGGCACTGTAGACTAGGCCTTTGAAAGACCTTTTCCTCAGCCCTCTGCCTGTCTTCTCCCACTCCACGTTACTGTCCCTGTACAGCCTTCTGTTATATTAGAGTTGAATGCACTGTCCTCTGCTAAACAGTTTTTCTGTTAACATCAGTCTCCTTGTTTGTTTCTTCTAGAAATCCTCTGCTTTATACAGTTATAACTGAACTGCTTTTCAGTTAGTTTGATTGAAATGCAAATACTAGAAAATAGTTGGTTAAAATAATCTTGTAATTAAAGGCTCAAATGCTTGTTTTGAGCCTATCGTGACTTCTTGGCCTTCTGTTTGCTTCTTTCTGCATTTTTAAAGCCCTTCAGGATAGTTGGGTTGTCGTGTCTGTCTTTAGTTAGTGTCCCCAAGATCTTCCCCTTAGCAGGGTCAAAGTCCCCAAGATCTGCCCATGAGCTATGTCTTTAGTCAGTGTTCCCAAGATCTAATCCATCAGGAGGCTGCCTTTGAATTTCCAACAGATTTTACCAGGTCTTGCTTAATCCCAGAGTCCTTCTATTCCTGCCTGGCAGGTTGCTGTGATGTTGAACTAGGACCCAGTGTGAGACAATACAGCTATGGGAGATTGCTTGGCAATTGTAAGGGTTTAAGAATTTAGAGGTTATGCCTTATTTCTGGTCCCTATCGAGCATGGGACCTAGTCCGTAGGCTTAAATCAGTAACCCTGGAGATGCTTTTAATCTAGGTTATAACTGGCTATAAAAATGGTGCCTGATTACTGTCTCTGTTTGCTTTTGCCATTTCAGGTGTATTCAATCTTGGTGTTCCTGTAGATGCGCTCTTCTTTATTGGGAACCAGTTGGTGGCCACGAGTCACACAGGCAAAGTGGGAGTATGGAATGCTGTCACTCAGCATTGGCAGGTTAGTCTCAATTAATACCCATTATAGAAGTGAACACAGTTTCATGCTGACTGCCCCTATTTATAGAGTTCCTACCAACGGTGAGTGCATCCCATGGGAGATTTGCTTCTCCATAGAAATTTTACTGTTTTAAAGGGGTTTGTTTTATTTATATAGTGCTCCCCATCTCCCTGCGAGTTTTAAGAGCCCTGCTGTGTGCATGAAAATCAAGGCAAACTTCATGTGTCGAGGGAGAGTACAGCTGGAACTGGACGTAGACAGGTGTCTGGAGGCAGTATGTTGTCGCTGAACACCTCCAGGGCCTAGAGAATGGGACGAGACTGAAAAGAGGGGGAAAATGAAGGGCTCTGGATGTAATAATGTGAAGGTCAAGAAAGATTTTCAGGTTTGGTTTGTTTGGTTGGTCTTTTGTTCTACATGGAAGGGACTAGACTTTTGTCTTTTTTAGGGTAGGTGAAGCTTGCACATGTCATAGGTGGAGAGATAGAGTTGCAGAGAAAACCCTGGATATTGGAGGATGGAGGTGTGGCTTTTCCCCAAAAGTGAGACTGTAAATGTACAGTCAGATGGATTTGAAATATTAGTTACATGACTCATTCAGCTTCACATCTGCATTTAATCTTAAAAAACGTTGTAAAATTCATAGTTTTCTATCAGCACTTAGCTCTGCCTTGATACAATGCTCATGAAATGTTATAAAAACCAGTCTAGTTGAAATAACAAGTCAGGCTTTATTTCTCATTCCCTCTTAATTTAATCTCTCCCTTCTCATATAGCTTACACACACACCATGATGTCACAGAGGGTTAGAAATTAAGCATTGGCTCAGCCTAAGCTCCATAGCAGAAAATAGCACTGTGTAGACATCATTCCCCAAGTTCTTTGTGTTTAAATTTAGACTTACACTAAAAAGATAGATTTAAATAAAGATTGATTACCCGTTTTATTCTCGTATCAGAACATGGAGAATCTCGTGAATGTCTGTCCTGGAAAGTAACAGTGGGATGTATATAGTTTGCCTCTTAAGAGATGGGAGAATGTTTTACGTGTGTTCGTTGGGAGGGGTGGAGGGTGCAGTGATGACTCAGTAGTGGAGGCTGAGCTTGGCAAGGAGACCCTGACCGAGGATCCGGAGTAAATTCCTGTGGCCGTCTTCCTGCAGACCACCTGACAGCATTTTCCTGAGATGAGCCTTGGAAGCTCCAGGCTGCTACCAATCTTAGCAAAAAGCAGCTTCAAATGGTACAGAGTCTGGGGCCATAGAAACCTGGTGTAGGTGTGGGGGGTGTGGTGCTGGAGCTAGAGATGCAGCTGGACCAGAGCTTGGGTGTGTGCAGGCAAAGCCGCCTTACTCTCAGACTGCTTCACTTCCAGCTGGAAGTGCGGGCATTGACCGGCTGCATGAGATGCCGTCATGTTCTCTGAGAAGCCTGGCTCAGGGTTGTCTGCAGAGACTTCCTAATGCAGCCCGTGACTGGAACTGAAAAGTTGTGTACAGAGCAGAGGTCCTGTGTGTGAACAGCTTAGAGGAATTGTTACTTCCCTGTGCCTGCTCCATAGCTAGAGCAGACATATGCTCTGCCTTGCTCCTCTTGTTCTGAAAGCTACATTTTTAGTGTGGATTTCTAGAGTTCGTCTGCTCTCTGGTTCCTCTCCTGACCTCTGTTGAGGTGCTTCCCCACTTTTCTCCCCTGTGAGTACACTACACATGTAGTTAGACGGGCTGCAGCACATGCAGTACAGGCCTGAAGCAGAGCACGTAGATCTTACCTTGCTGGAAAACAGGCATGAGAAGAGCTAGCTCCTTACTGAGGAATTCATTGCTGGGGTATCTGCCTTGGCCTTCTGAACTCACAGCTTCACAACATGGTGCCATTACTGTTTGTACACGCTCTGGCCTGGGGAGAGACATTTAATCCTGTCTCCTGCTGCTGCCTTTGTTTCATTTCCTTGGGTGTATTTTTTGTGATAACTTTAGTCCTTTGGATTTACAGTTACTTCTTTGCAAAACAGACTGATTGCTTTGAAGAGGTGCTATTTAATTCTAGTACCTAGAGAAGAAGTCGTAGAAGAGTCTTGAGTAAGGACAGAGAAAGCAGGCCACTGTGCACTTGAAGAGATTGTAACAGGCTGTCTGGCACTGCACTCTGCCTGAAAGTCACCTGTGCTGGTCATTTGCTCTGACTGTGCACTGTGTGACTTTATTTTATGTCAGTGAGTTGGGAGGAGAGGATGAGGTTTGCCTCGGCTTCCAGTTTCAGGGTTGTAATGTAGTATCTGACTTCGGAGATTATGAGCTGCAGCTCAAACATGTTTCTTCAAAGCTGAATGGGTGCTTTTCAGTTCACTGGAGCTTAAAGACAGTTCGTTATCTAAGCCTTCCTAAGTACCCAAAACACCAGAGTGTTTTGAAGAAGTTGGAACAGAAACAGAAAAGGTGCTTCCTAATGTGTAACAATCTCACCGTGTCAGGTGCAGGATGTTGTTCCAATAACCAGTTATGACACTGCGGGCTCCTTCCTTCTCCTTGGATGCAATAATGGATCGATATATTACATAGGTGAGCATTGAGCGTGCTTTATACATGAAGTCACGGAGACCTCACCCTCTGTGTTCTGACTACATGTGTTCTTGTCTTCAGACATGCAAAAGTTCCCACTACGGATGAAGGATAACGACCTCCTTGTCACTGAACTCTATCACGACCCCTCCAATGATGCCATCACTGCGCTGAGTGTTTACCTCACCCCCAAAACGAGTCAGTACATGGCCAGCTTGGGGTTTTTTGAGATGCCTTGAGATGAAGGAATGCTGAGAAACGCTAGCATGTTAACGTGTGCCTGGGGGCAGACCATGTTCTTGAGTGTGGTGCTTGTGCACAGTGACCTTTTACTGAATCCATTAAATGAGACAGTCATCAGCACTGAAGACTATGGTCCATACTGAAATGACTGCAGGGTTCCTCTAATTTAAATCGCGCTGTTTTCAACTGGTTACTAGTGCTAGCCCTCCCTCCCTCCCTTCTTCCCTTCTGTTTTCAGTTCTGTGCACTGTCCTTGGCTGCTTTCAGCGATAGAGCTGAGAGGTTATGACACATTGTGGAAAACCAAGCTTGAAATATTTAATTACTCCATGTCCCTTTAGAGGAAGCTTGCTGGTCTCTGCTCTAGAATGAGTATAATGAAATATGGATTCCCACCCCAACCTACTTTACAGTAAGAGGTAAAACTTGGAAAGTTTTAGAAATCAAAGTCCTTCCTCATGTTGGCAAGGCTTAGGAAGCATGAGAATGACATCTCTGGTGGCTGGAATGCCCTGTTCTGTTTTCTCCCTCTGACAGTGAATGGGAAGTAAAGCTCATGGCTCTCTACCTGAGAAGCTGGTTAGGATGCAGGCCAGTGCACTTCTGTCTGTCTTCAGATGTGTGCTGCAGTGTGCACACTTTTTAAAAGAAAAGAAAAGCTACCAGGCAGGAACGGTGACTCAGCCTCAGCACTTGCTGCTCTTCTAGAGGAGTCAATAATTCTAGTTCCAGGAGATCCAGCACTCTCTTGTGGCTCCAGGAGGACCAGGCATGTAGCTGGTGCGCAGATATGCAGCAGGTGAAGCAGCTATACACATAAAAATAAGCCTTTTAAAATAGGAGGAAGAGGCATGCAGAACTGCAACTGGGCCAGCCGGGTTGGAGGAGGCTTCATGGTCGGGCAGTGTGGTTGAGCATTGCAGGTGCCGTGCCCATCTCACTTAGTGCTATCTGTAAGCATTCATGTAGGTGACACTTGGTCGCTCAAGGATGGCTATGTACTGCAGCAGAAGTAAAGAGCCAAGGCCACTCCAAGCTGTAAGCCCCAGGAAGTGCTGCTGTGGGTGCTGTTTCCCTGGTGGGCCTGGCATAGCAGGGCTATTTGTTTCCCAAATTGGTGCTGAGTTAGAACCCTATCTCAGGCATTCTGAAGGGTGGTTCAGTTTCTGTCAATATGGAGCAGAGGTAGGTAGACACATGAATATGTGGAATTAGCATGTGATTGCCAGCGTGTGTTGGGAAAGACTGGAAGGGATGCAGACTATGATGACTGAGCGGTCTAGCACGTGCTCTGACTCCTACTGCACGGCAGTCACCACAGGGAGACTTCGCAGCACCCCATTCTTTTGGCCATTACATAACACACTGCCTTTGACCTGTGGCTCCTAGGTGTCAGCGGAAACTGGATTGAGATCGCCTACGGTACCAGCTCTGGAGCTGTGCGGGTGATTGTGCAGCACCCGGAGACAGTCGGCTCAGGGCCACAGCTCTTCCAGACCTTCACAGTCCACCGCAGCCCTGTTACAAAGATAATGCTGTCCGAGAAGCACCTGGTGTCAGGTACAGTAGGGCTCCTGGCAGGCCTCCTGCTACCTGTTTTCCTTTGCCTAGGCAGAGGGAGAGGAGTGGTTCATGCTTGGGCTGTAACTGGAGGCTGTGGCTTGACTTGGCCTGGGTGTACTGTACTGACACTTAGGAAATAGCATATGTATCTCTGCTAGTCTCTGATATTTCCTCATGGCAAATTTCATTTCAAGATGCATATCGGATCACTGCTGAGATTTCTGTCTCAAAATTTTCTAAGTTTGAACTTTAATTTTGTTTTGTTATCATCAGTTTAAAACTAAAGCTGTAGACTTAGATGTATATTTTTATAGTTGATTACCTTGCAAAATGTTAAAAATTTGTAACAATATATAAAATTATTTGAAAAAAGTAACAGTTTGTGAGTTTATAGTTTCCTATAATCTCAAAACTTTAAATATTTAGATAATGAAGTAATAAATATTGCATGCTAATTTTATAGCTTAATGAGGGCCCCTTTTCTTAATTTTTTTTTCTTCTGCTTTTCAAGGTAGTGTTTGGCTGTAGCTATCAAGCATGTCCTAGACCTAGCTCTTGTAGACCAGGCTGGCCTCAAACTCACAGAGATCCACCCGCCTCTGCTTTCCACTTTTTTAACAAAGTCAAATTCCACTGAAGAAATTCACGCTCGGGATTTCTAGGTGATGTCTAGATTTGGTGAAATTTTACTTGTAACTTGTCTATAGCACTTGCTTTTGAGGGGTGCTGCCCTCTGTGGAGGAATTTTGCCCAGCATTTTCCTAAGCCTCATTTTCATATGTTGACCGTGCTCATTTGAACAGCACTGAAAGGTTCTGTGTCTTACACTGTTCGCAGTGAATGCTGCGCAGACACAGATGCCTTTAGCACCTGTGTGCGTTTCTGAAGTAGCGCTCACCCAGTCCACCCAACCCTTTTCTCACCTCTCTTGCTGGTTCCTGTTCGTTTGAGAGTGCTTTCTTAGCCTGTGCATTCCCTGGTGCCTGACTGTTTGCCAGTCATGCTCTGATTTTTCCTCCCTGTCAACACCTAGGGAGTTGAAAACCTATCTGTCCTGTTTCTGTGTCTGTGTGTTACGTTCAACAGACGTTCCAAACCAAACCTGGACAAATCAGAGGCTTTTGTGACCGACAGAGAACTAGGAAGTCACATCATTTACAGCATCACCACCCACTTACTCACACTCAAAATTTAGGGGTTCCTCTGGTTCCCCCTTGATTTTAACCTGAATGTACCCAGTCCACCAGGAAATGGTTTTTGCTGATCTCTCCCACTCTTCACCTGAGTGACTCAAGTCGTTCTCCCTAGGTTCCTGCAGGTACTGGGCAGCTCATCCCAGGCCCTATGGAAATACAGTCTAGATCTGAGTCCCACTAGCTCTCCTACTCAACTTGAGATGTCCTGTGTAGCCTGTAGTCTAGATTTATTTATCTTTTAAATCTTGTCCTCATGCCAGCCAACTTTCTTTGGATTACGAGGCTCTAAACTATTGGCTTTTCTATTTTGTAAGCATGTCTTAGCCTTTTTTGCTCCTGTTATTTTGTTTGACATGTTTGGCTTTCACATACTTTTTTGGTCATACTGTCTTTCACACTCTCACACACTTCCCTCTGTCTTTGAGGCTCCCACACACTTCCTCAGTAAGGTCTCCTCCCAGTCTGTTTAAAACTCGCCTTGTCTGCTAAGTCTCCCCTGTGTTCTTCATGGGCTTACTGTGGCGTTGTTACTGGTTTGCCTGTCATCTGTCTCCTACGCTGCAGTAGTTGTGTTTTCCTCTCTCCTCTCAGCACTCAAGGGTAGCTGTTTACACAGATGCTGGAAATGCTGCAGACAGTATACGACACTTAAAGCTCTTAGACGTGCCATGCTACTTAAACATGTGCTGGTCACGGCAGTGCTTTGAGATCCTCATGACTGCCGTTGGTGGCTATGTTAGTGTAGAGTGAGATGCCAAAACAGTGCCTAAAACATTTTGTATTTCAACACAGAGTATTTATTACATGTACAGCTGGATCAGTAAGTTTGTCTGGAGTGTTCTGTGTTCTCGGCCTCTCTGCCCCCTGGTGGCTACTAGCGTAAATGCAGCTGTGTGCTTCTGTAGTGTATTTCATAGTGAGGCCTCACAGGATGGTGGAGGAAGCTTGACTCATCCAGAATTGCTCCAGTTATTTGTCTTCTGCTAAGTTTGTAAAGTCAGGAACCATTTCCCATGGGATTGGTTGAACCCCTCACTGTGCCTACTGAACTTCACCACGGGCTCGGAGAACTGAGGATTTCATTACCTCTCCAAAGTGCAGAGGGGTCATTGTTGGTGTCGCCAAAGTTAATTTCTAAAGTTTGCTTTAGAATACAAACCATGATTTTTGTATAGAAATTTTACATTCCTAGCATTTATAGATGTTTTCTAAAAACCATTGCAAAAATCATTACAAATGGTAAGTTAGTTCTTTTTCCTTGTTAGACCAAGCAAAAAGTACCCTTTCTGCCTGGTTGGTTTCATGTTTTAGGGTATATCTTAGGAGTGCTTGTGCTCGAGGACCCAAGTTTGGTCCCAGCATCCATATCAGATAGCTAATAACTGCCTGTATTTCCAACACCAGGTCTGTGAGGGTAGACACACATGATATAAAAGACATTCACATAAAAAAATATAGCCAGATGTGGTGCACACTTTTAATCCCAGAACTTGGGGGGCAGAGGTAGTCAGATCTCTCTGTAAGTTTTAGGCCAGCCTGGTCTACATGGTGAGTTCTAGAAGAACCAGGGCTACAGAGAAAGGCCCTGTCACATAACGACCCCCACCCAAACAAATGTAAATAATCATATTAATAATAATTAAAAGGTTTAATTAAAATATTTTAAAAACCTAATTGGAGTGTGTTTATTGATGCATATGTTTTTGATAGAACTAGTGCCCAACTCTAGTACAGACTCTACAGTGACTAGGAATGAGTCATTAATAACAGGTTTCTGGGAGGTGTTTGGAAAGTCTCGTCGCCAGTCTTCAGGCTCTCCTGGCTTAGACTGACTAGCATCTGGGTGACATAAAACATTTCTCTCTCAAATTTAAAAACCTTTCTCCATTTATGTCTTATCAGCTTTTGCCTTGGTTTTATTGTTTGTTTCAAATGTGGTCTTCCTGGCCTGCACTTACTGTGTATTGCAGTCTGGCCTGATGCCGTGCCTCCTTCCGCATGTGGCTCCTGCTGTTTTTAAGGAGCTCACGGGCTTACTTACATGTCTCATGTTTGCACCAAGAGAGTGCTGCTTGGTTCTCTCACTCCAAAACATCATCATTACTATTGTTAGGTTTATTGATTGGTCGTGTGTGCATACCTGTTTATGTTTTGCACATGCCACAGCCCATGTGTGCAGGTCCAATGGTGCCTTGCAGGAGTCGGTGCTCACCTTTGACCGTGTGGGTCCCAGAGATGGAACTCGGTGCCGTCAGGCTTGGTGGCTAGCATCTGTCTGCCAAGTCATCTTCCCAGACCCCTTCTCTCACTCCGGTTAGCTAGAAATAACTGAGCACAGTTTTAGGATAAATACATGATCTGCCTTTTAAAATGTACTGTGATCTGTTTAATGTAAAGAGGGTGAATTGCTTCAGAATGGTGTGTGACCCTGTGTTCTTTCCTAGTGTGTGCCGACAACAACCATGTCCGTACATGGACAGTGACACGGTTCAGAGGGATGATCTCCACTCAGCCAGGTTCCACTCCTTTAGCGTCTTTCAAGATCCTGTCCTTGGAGGAGACAGAAAGCCATGGCAGCTATTCCTCTGGCAATGACATAGGTGGGCATCTTCACAAATGAAAACCCAGGACTGGGCTTATCATGGGAATTTTATTTTTTAATTTTGAAAGTCATTCAAGCAAAGTATTTGTGTGTGTGTGTGTGTGTGTGTGTGTGTGTGTGTGTGTGTGTGTATGTGTAAGTGTAGACTATAGGACTACCTCAGAATGATGCTGCCTGGCACTCACCAAGTGGTCTAGACTAGCTGGCCAATGAGCTCCAAAGATCTGCCTGTCTCTGCCTCTCCAACATGAGGATGTCACACACAGCACTTGGCCTGGCTTTTTTCCATGCTCTCCAGCACTTGAGCTCAGTCTGTGGGCTTTACCAATGCATCCATCTTCCCAAGCCCTGAAGTTCTCTTACTAGTTCTGTGAATTCACAAAATTACATTATTGAAACATTTTTTATTATTTAAAAAGTTAAGATAAACAATTTTCTCTTACTAGCATTTCTTCCTTTAAATGTTATACTCAGATGCTAACCAGGTGTTTTGTCTCTACAAAGCTGTGATTGACGGCTGTGCATGATTGAAACTTTTCATTTTTCTCTTTTGTTTCTAACAATTATTGAGAATACAATTGAAGCTGGGAAAAGAGTCAGTGCTGTTATGAAATTTGAGTTGTTTGGCCAGCATGTGCACATCACTGTCCTCTGGTGCCAGCAAAAGTGGTACAGTCTGTGTACTGACTATCTGTAAAATGGCGACAAAGATGGTGCTTTCCTTAGGAAGCACTGATAAAGCTCATGGGGCTGCCAGAGTGTTTGTGCCCATGCATGTGAGCTGCAGGCTGGGATGTAATTCAGTATGCTTCCCCAGCACGTCAGCAGCAACACAGAGCTTGTTATGTGGAAGTTTGTTGTGTGCCACATACTTTTATGAAAAAATTTGTTAATGAGTGCAATAAAGAAGAGATACTAAACTCCCCAGTGTCTCATGGCAGGATTCTCTTTTACAGTTTGACTCGGTCTTCCCTGCCTTGCCCAGTATAATAGAGGGGAAGTAATTGAGTCATTCTTTTAAAGAATGTATTTTTGTTTTATGTGTATGGGTGTTTTGCCTACATGTATGTATGTACAAGGTTGGAAGAGAACAGCTGATCCCCTCGAACTGGGGTTACATATAGTTGTGAGCTATCCTATGGGCACTGGGCACTGAACCTGGGTCCTCTACAAAAGCAGCAAGTGCTTCTAACTTCTTAGCCATCTCTCCGGCTGAAGCCTTTCATTTTTATATTGAAAACCTTTGCGTGCTGCCCCAAATAAGCCTAGCGTCCATAGTCCAGAAGTCCACACCACAGTCATCTCTTTCATCTTTCAGCCCTGTATGAAATGTGGAAAATTGTGCACTGTGAAACATGGTTCCCTTCATTCTGTTAGCTCTTTGTTTAGACTGATGTCCTGTCCTTAAGGTGTCTCATTATGGATGTGAAAATTACAAAAGTCAAAGCCCTCCAAACTGAAGAAGCGGTCATCCGGGAGCTCTGGGCAGTGCGCTCCTGTGACCCCGCGCAAGCGCTTGCTTGGTGGCTACTGTTGTGTGTTTCTCTGGAACTCAATGCAAAATTACTGCTGTGCACTTTGTGTCTTAAGAAAATAGAAACATTGAAGGAGCAGTGTGATAATTGAGGCTTCTGATCACTTAAATTCTTTTGAAAAACATTTTATTACATTTTGTGTGCGCGTG